TCTCATCCAAAAGGTACTGGGTTTGAATCCCGGAACAGAGCCTTTCTGAGTGAGGTTTGCCTCTGGGAGCACCGGTTTCCCCTATACACTCAACACATGTACAATAGGTAAAATCTTCCAGCTAAACGCAGTGGACCAATTTAGCACAGAGACCTTAAAATACAACTTCACCTTAACCTGGGTGTGATATCAGGATTGGCATATATGGGCCTAATTAACACATATTGTATTGCTCTGCTTTCAACGAATATATGAAGGTTATGATGTACTTTCCGGGGAAAAACCCCCCCCATCTTGGCCATGCCTTGTCATATATGTGAAAACCTTTAAAATTCAGTAGGATAAAGCTGGACTAAATTCCCAGCCAACGATTAACAAATGCTTGAAATTAAACTTTCGCCCCCAAATCAAAAAACGGTTTTGTCATTGTTTACGTCCTGATTTAAGCTGCTATCAGATTTAAGCACAGCCGGTCCTTGCATCATCGCAAACATCATAAATCTTTGTCTAATATTGTGCAGCCCGTTGTATGGCGAGCAAACAGAAAACAACAACAAAGAACAGCTTCATTAAGCATTCACACGCAGACGAGGGGACATGTTGCCAGATAATGTCCAAGCTGGTGGGTACTTTCTCTTTACCAGCCTGGCACAGTTGGCAGCACTATTTAAACCCTGTGTGAGGCGGAGACGACAATAGAGATGCTTGGATTTCTGTGAGCTGCCCAGATGGATATACAAACACTGCTGCAAAAAACTTTTACATCCATTTGTCTAAGAAACAATAAGACTTAACATCAAATGTGTGCATTAGTAACCACAGCATTCGCACTTTACCAGGGTCACCAAAACCAAATACAGGCTTATGCAGTTGTGACGGATAACACCCAAAGAGCATTTTGTTTTTCTCAAGGAAATAAAAGCGCGGTAAATTTTCCTCAAAAACTCTAAACTTTGTCTATTTATTTGAACGTTATTGTTATTAATGCTCCACAGTGTGGCTTTTAACACATGGAGACAATAATGTTTTCTCCTGGCCAAGTGTTGGTATCTTTTGGTATAAAACTTCAGATGCTGCCATATCCTGGTTGATTTATCATTTGGCGGGGTCAGACATGTACTTTAGATTTCTTAACATGCAAAAAGATTTAAAAGGTTTGGTGGTCTTGACAATCGTTTTAGTTGAAATGACTTCTTATGAAATCATCCTGTAGCATGTTATGTATCAAGCTTTTTTCATGAGAGAAGATTAGTTTGTCTTTATTCTAACTTGACTCTTCTGCCTGTGCATAGTTCAGTTTTCAGTTTTTTTTATATCTTTACCTTATTCACCTGGTTTGGATATTTTGAGTAGACAGTGGATGTTCATTTATAACTGTCTACGTTTGAGACAGAGCTGTAATTATGCGATTTTCTATGCACCAATTATCGGTATTATGTTCTCAAAGCTTTCACATCCAATTACTCTATTTAGGCTGGCGACCTCTGCGTTAGTCTGCTCCCGGCCCAATGAAAAGTGCTATATATAATAATATAACAAATTATAAAATTAGATACAATTAAAGCATTGTAAATGTGGATTTTATACCTGCAATATCCTAAAGTAAGACCTGCAGTTTGAGGTTACGCACAAAATAGCGATGGGGAGAACTTGAGCTAGCCCTGAAATAACTTTAATGTTTTATGACAGTGGAGTTTCAGAAAGCATTGAAGAGAGACTAGTGTCTGGGAAAGTGGCCTTGTACGCAACATTTGGACAAAATTGATTCATGCTCCTTTTTGGACGTTGTTCCTAGCGCACCTGTTGAAAATGTTGAAAAGCAAAACATTTTTCAAACATAAGTGACCAGTTGCCTTCTTGGAATATTGAATTAAATTTAGCTATTTGTATGTTCTCTGTCCGGGATTTTGTACATCGTGTAGATTTTCTTACTTACAAACACATTTCCTCCTTCCATTATGCATTTATGAATGATCAAACATTAAACACAGATTGAATGTCAAGGAAATTAAATGAAATTTGTCATCCAATTTTGATTAGAAATGCCAACATTATAGCAAGATTTAAAGGAGAAATATTATGCATTATTATTTGTAGAAGGGCAGAAAAGGCATTGTGCACGTAATGCCTTACGCTACCACCAGAGGGAGGATCAATTTGTTTTCCTTTTTTCCCCTCACATTCGAAAATTTCCAGCTGCAAACACAGCCAAGCAATTGTCAATAACATAATACTTTAATACTTTTGTTTTAAAAGACAGAAAACAGCTCTGAGTGTGATGTCATAGAGCTTTAAAGACCTTATGACGGGTTTGATTTATTTAGAAATACAGTTTTAATACCATTTTATATTAGAAGAGAACTACTAAAGGTTTCAAAATCAGTTGTTGTTTTTTTTGTCTGATCCCCCCAAATCGAAATAACCCCATAGCAACGCCCTTAGAAACGAAAAAACTTCACAGCCCTTGGTGACGTCAGAACGGGTACGTTTCAACGCTGTAAGTAGTTTACAATTTGGTATTCGTTCTTTTTTCGCGGATATTCAAGATGACAAGGCCGTGTACAGCGAGTCTAAGATAACTACTAGTATGTAACATTTCGTTGTCACTGAGATAGTCCAGTGATTGTGTCGATGGACTGCCAATCCAGATACTTGGGTTCAATTCCCACCTCGGACATTTTTTCACACTCAAAACGGCAATTTATGTGTAGTGAGCAATTGTCACCTGTAGAGTGCAGTATTGTGTTGGGCATCAGTGGAGAGAAGAGAGAAAAGGCAGTCCTGTGGCATAGATCCATGGTTTTCAATGCATGGGCGTAACCCGCTATGACGTCACACACAGGTTAGAGCATAGACAACTTAAATTCATGAAAAACACGTTCTTTTTATAAAATATAGGATTTTTTTTGCCGGAATCTTTCAAATTGACATTGTCATGCAATTTTGATATCCACTATTTTTTTTTTAAAAACCCGTCATAAGGTCTTTAAGACAGAAGGGGCGGAGTTACACGTTTGTGCCAGAAGTTTGTGATATTACTGTGGATAGATAAAAAAAACTCCAGGTTTATTTTTGATGAGGGAACATTAGAGCATGATTAAAAGCTCCAAAAAAAGTAGATTTAGCATAATATGTCTCCTTTAAAGTCATCATTGGCCCCCACTTGAAAATGCTGTAAAGTTTAAGCAGCCCACAGGTGCATTTAGCTCTTCACCACAGACGGATCAGGAGGTAAATGTGTCCAGCACTGGTGCAGTGGCTGTTTTATCACTTTCATCTGGAACACAAGCAGCTTTTAGCGGCGCACATAAAGACAACCACCGCTGCAGTGTGGCTCTGTGAAAGTGACAGTGTTGGGCACGTTACTTTGAAAAAGTAATTAGTTATAGTTACTAGTTACTTCTCCCAAAAAGTAACTGAGTTACTAACGGAGTTACTCCACTATAAAAGTAACTAGTTACCAGTAAAAGTAACTATTGCGTTACTTTTTCGTTTTGTTCTGGAACATAATGTGCACCCGACGTGCGCATTTTTACCTTTAACAGTGCCAATATTTCCATCTAGAAAAGGCTGTTTTGCTGCTGAAGTCCTGTTCACTCTTCATCTCTGTCTGTGCTGTAAAGCCCGCCACTGTGAATGTGGAAACACCGGTGACGAGCGGTGAGGCTGGTGAAGCACTGACTTCAGTCCAATCAGATGAACATATACATCATATAAATCAAGTGGACAATTTGTTTGGCTACAGCAAAATATGTTTTATGCCCGCATTGTTTGTTCATACAAAACGCAAAACTATGAGTTATGGGTCTTACCTTATAGCTATACCTTATAAATGACCTGCACAGTCCACTTCGGTTCAGACCAGTTCCTTGTTTAAATCCAGTGAATGGTTTGAGCGTAGATATGTAATCCTCCATTTGGAAATGAGTCCAATGAGTTTTAAAAAGTAAAACAAAACGCGTGTGTCCTCCGTAAACTCCTCTGTTTTGCTGCAGCCGGCTGCATCCAATTTCTAAAATCAACCGTCTTACACTTCACCTCTCTTTCTTATCATTCCTATAGTAATTGAAAAATTACCCTATGTGCATTTTAGATTATGTAAAAATGTGTTATATGTATGTTAGCCAAACCTGTTGCTGTCCTTAGCAGATAAACCAGGAAGAGCAAGGAGCTTATCGATGGAATTGTATGCAGCCGACTTCTGCGCTCACATGCGCTCCTCTGAGGCTGGCCTCACGGTGATACAAGCCGTGGTTGAGCGCGATTAAGACCCATATTTGTTTCAAAAACACAATTTATGAGCCATCCTCTCAACTGTAGACATGTAGATTGTAAAGGAAATATGATTTACATCAGCCAATAATTGCTGAGAGGTTTTCTCATCCTCCCTTCTCTCATGACAACACGTTCATTGTGCGTCTTGAGTAACGCGCAGTAACGGGATGTCGGAAATGATAACGGCGTTATAGTTACTGTCAAAGTAATTAGTTAGATTACTCGTTACTGAAAAAAGTAACGGCGTTAGTAACGCCGTTACTAGTAACGCCGTTATTCCCATCACTGGAAAGTGAACGCACCGTCCAAAGGCACAGCCGAATGAGCACTGAAGAATCTAAAACTGGAACTATATCAAAATACGAAGCAAAGAACAGCTAATAGGGAGGGTTTAAGGGAAGAAGATTTTAAGGATTTGTGTGGCTATTTTAGCAAGAACAACCAGAAGGCTGAGACTACTTTGGCACGTGAATGGAAGTAAGGCATCTGTAACTTTCTAGAGAGTCAAAATGGGTCATTGTATTCCCGTCTGGCAAGGAAACTAGAATTAAAAATAAGCAAGTTTGAAATCTGACAGCATATTGTGCCGTTGTGCTGCCCCTTACAGAATACAACAACTAACACTGCAAAAAATGAACTCAAAAGGTAAAATAGTCCACTTTGGAAACTTGGAAAGTAAAGGAAAAAATAAGAAATGCGGTGAGAGTGAGAAGTCTTTCGCGGTGTCATGACGTTGACCTGACTGTTGATATTGCGATGGTGAGGAGCAGAGAGAGGGGAGAGGTTTCCAGGATGCAACCACCGGAGCCACGGGCGCTCATACCTGCAAACACAAAAGACACAAAGAAATAAAGAAAAGAAAGAAAAAGGCGAGTGATGCAAGCAGCGCTTCAGGACCAAGACATTTGGCAGCAGTCTGTGCAGTTTTTGTGTGGAAAACGTGCCTTTTCATACACCCGGCCGAGAAGCAGATTTTAAGATTTAAAACTATAGAGGTGATTTTCTCTACTGACTCTTTCTGCAGAGAAGTACATAAAGGATTCAATGCATGTGTTTATTCTCTGTATAATGCACAAACATATGAGAATAAGAAATTATTTTTAGAACCATTTTTGACAACTACACGCCTTTCATCACCACACACATTTGCATTAAACTGTAGCAGTGCATGCATTTTTCTCTTTCTATACTTGTATAATGAATGTACATTTTGTCAGCAGCTCGCATCTGCAATCATCATAACGTTTTGGTACAATGTTTTGTTTTCGCTGCTTATTTGCTTTTGTTTTGTCTCATGTGCGTTATGTATTGTGTGTTCCCTAGCAACGCCTCACTGTTGTTTTTCTTATAAATATATAAATACGCAACATGATAATATGTTTAATATCAAAGTGAGCTCCATGCTAAAAACATAAACCATACACTCATTTATTCAGCTTCAAAGCATCGTTCTTAGATGAGGTTTCCATGGAGAGCACAAGAGGCTTGAAACATATCCACACAAATACTTCAGCCATGGTTTAAAATTGTACATTACAAGAGCATAAAACCTCGTCGCATAGAGACGGGAGCGTCCAATTTCTCCCTCACACAGTACATGTTATAGTTTGTTTGTGACAAATAAGTTACTGTTCTCATTTTCTTTTGTTAATGCTGAAAATCAATGCTAACTGCACCCGCTGAAAAAAGCAGTCATTAAATACAGCATGGCTACACAATACACGCTCTGCTCTCTATTGTCGCACCGCAGAAAGCATGTGTGATTATATATATTATGTTGGGTATTTAAGGTGTCAAAGAATTGTGATTGATCTCTTGGGCGTGAAATCACTGCCTGTATATAAGCGCAGCGCACTCACAAACGCATTCGAACACATGCTTCCACTTGCACTTATCCGTAAAATATGTATTAAAGTGAAAGGAGTCGGCTCTCATCACTTCCTCATGTAAGATTTAAGGCAGTCAATTAGCTCTTCTGGATCCCTGACAACTCTGTAATGAGATAACTTCCTGGTAAAATCTTTCCTGGCATGAAAATATATTATTAATGCAAAATGAATTATACCTGATTGGAGGCTTATGTTGCGCTCATAAAAACACATTTGGCCTAAAAAGCATCAGGAAAAACACTCGGTAAACCAGAGCTGGTGGATTTTAGCATAGGGAATTAACAATGTAAAACATGTTTTTTTTTCTGGATGCAGCTGAGGAGCCCACTGCACCAGTCCCAACGGGCCAAAAGCGGATCCAGTAACAGGGGGAGTCAAGCTTGCAGACAGAGATGAATTGTAGTACAAATTTCAGCAAGTTTTGAGCCAGCGGAGGTTAGCAAGGACACGGATTATAATGAGTCAATGAGGACACGTCGCCCCGGTTGGCTTTGAAATGGGATAAGTGGCTTCATTTACAAGAGTGTGTAAATAATAAAAAATAGATTATACAAGCGGCTAAGGTTATGGCTACATGTCAAGTTTCTAACGCGCATAATCAGTCCGTTTTATTACAGGAGCCAGTGGAAGGGAGAACGAGAGTCAGTGAAAACAAAGACTTGGAGATGTTTTTGAAAATCTGCAGAACGGATACAGATTCTCCAATGCCTTGTTTTCTGAATATAGCACCTCGACTCACAAACAGGGAACCGGCCAAGAACACCCTTGGCACACATCGACATGATAATTGTGATACGAGGACATTTTGTATCTTCAAACCAATCAACAGCACTGCTCCTCTCTAATTATTTTTAATCATGTTTAACTGGTCTCACCCTCATCTGACTCTGGGAAACCAGCCATGCACTTTACACGGGACTTTATGGAGCTTGCCTTTTTCGCCACTCACACTTTCACATCTTTGATTGTTTGAAACCGTTTTTGAATTGATTCGAAAAGGGCAGTCTTGTGAATACGCTACGGATATTTTAGTTATTTTTTGGAATCAGGTATAGCATGGGAAGAGATACAATTTTATCAAGAAGAAACGATTTGAATCAAGTGAATAATTCCACAATTTTCACAATTTTTACCATTATTGAGCTTTTTGGTAATCTCTGCTTTTTTCAAACCTCTGTTTCAGCTGGATCCAGGAAAATCGTTTCTCTTTTTTTCTTTGTGCTCAATCAAACTTCACTTATAAGACAGAAATTGCCCCATATTGAATCCTTTTTTAATAAAGGATTAAACAGTGATTTATTTGTGTTTATGTCACATCAACTCTAGCTTTATAAAATTAAACATTCACATTAATACAGTTCCTACAAATCGGTGATGAAACACGCTGTGATTGAGTGAATGTTGTTGCTATCATGATGTTGTGATAGCTTTATTATCATTATTATTATTATAATTTTTGCTTGTTCCAAAGTCTATTGGCAAATCAGCTTTACAAAACAAAAATATTCTCAAGTAAGTCCTCCAGAAAACCACTTAATTCAAGCAGTTTGTTCAAGTGCTTTAACACTTTGTACTGTTTTACAATTATACTTTGGTTTAAAAGTTGTTTGATTTATACATGCTCACTTTTGAAACAAATCATTAACCGCACCCCGATCTTAATCAGAAAAAAATATATTTTGATTTGTTGAAAATCCTAACCTTTTACATTATCTGTTTTCCTCCCAGTATCTGTAATAAGTTTCTTCTCCCTGTATCTGCAGTAAGTTCTTAGTGCAGTTAAAGGCACTCACTGAGTTGGTGGACTCTGAGGGGATCGGAGGCCGGTCCCAGGCCCCCCTCGCTCACGGTCCTGATGTGGATGATGTAGTCTTCGTCCTCTTCCGGCAGCGACAGCTCAGCCGATGAGTTGCTTGTGGTGAATGTGTTGACCTCTTTGTGTCTCTGCCTTCTGTACGACAGCTGAAGGGGCAGACCAACATGACCATGTGAGACAACAGCACGGCTCTCCTCACGAGATTCAGTATGTTCAGGACAGAGAATAACATTTTGTAAACAATTCAGACTCAGAAATGATTTGATATTGTTGAATCTTTTGCATACTGAGAGCTCATTGGCTGAGTGAGGACTGGTCCGGTCTGTTTCACTGATCTGTGCGTTCAGAAATACATGCATGTGAAAACTAGTGATAGAACCAAACTGTTTTGAGACCAAGGAACTAGTTACACGGATTTCATCATTATTTTTTGTGATTTCCAAGGTAGGTAGTCCAGCAGTAAAGTCCTTGAACATCACATATTGTTTGCCTATCTTATTATAAAACATACTTTTTTTTTTTTTTAGGTTTCCTCCAGGTGCTCTGGTTTACCCTACCACTAAAAACCTGTACAATAGGTCTGGCATGCGCTTCCTGTACAGTGACCTCACTCCCATCTCTGTGTGGAGGGACAAATACCCACAAATGTAAAGCGCTTTGTGACTCTGGTCTGTGAAGGCGCTATATGAATAAAGATTACTTAGTTTCACTTTTTTGTACATATAAGTAAAAGCACTGTGAAGGTGGTCCTCTCTTTTTCAGTTTTATGTCTGAAAAATCTGTTCTAGAGCTGTGACAGAGGCCAAAAATGAATTGTGCTATCCGTCAATTAAAAAAAAATCTCAAATCTGTCTTTTTGATCTGACTCAAAGCCTCAAGCACATTTCTGCGCACCACTGCTCTTTAACATGATTGATAATAATGAAATAGTATAAAAAAATATTGAAATTGTGAAAGGATTGGCAGAACAAACAGGGGAAGAGGACAGCTCACCTCGTAGCCTGTGACTTCTGACTCGGACTCCATCGCCACCACAGGTTCCCAGTAAAGAGACAGGTGAGAGCCAATTAAAGTCCATTCCACGTTGAGCGGGGGCTGGGCTGGGGCTGGTGACGAGGGAAATTATTTTAAATGTCACAACCGGAACATAGCATTGACACCCAAGGTCTAAAATATACCGATTATGCAATATCACACATATAAGCTGACAGTAACATTACATCGGCTTCTGGCTTTTTGGATCAGTGCAGCTTGGAAACGTGTGCCATTTTTATTGAAAGGGGTCAATTAATGCGTCCTCTCTGTTTCCAAAGCAACTATTTAATCAAATTATATACTGTTGAAATGACAAAACATAGATCAAAAGAAACACTTAATGGACCTCCAGACAAGAAACTGGATAAATCTTTCTTTGATGAAGGAACCACTAATGTATAAAAGTACAAACCTCCTCTATCTTTACTGAATGGCTGAATAATAATGGCATTGGTCTTAATGGACTTACTGCACACAACACAAATTGTTAAGTATTAGACGTCCTTGCTGAGAACTGCCGTACTTTCTCCAATGCAAACCTTTTTTGTTTACAAACCACAATAATAATAACATTTTTTTGGAGGCAATCATAGAATGTGGTAGTTGCAAAAACGCATTTTAATGTGCAGCCTTGGGGTCTAATCTCACACTCAAGTGACAAATGCGTTGAGAGATTATTGGTCGAGAAAATATTTTAGGCCAACATAAAGTTTACTATATTAGTATGCAAATCAGATAGTACACAAAAATATGTTCTGTAAAAGTGTAGCAACAAATGAACTATAGTCACAATGCTTACTTTTTCATGGACAGCATGTCATTGAAAAATGATGCTCTCTTATTGACCTTTAATTAACTAGTAACGTCCCACTGAGATTTCAGAATCTCTTTTTCAGGGGAGTCCTGGGACCGTGCAGGGGCAGGAGTGGGGTTGGAGATGGTGCTACGAGGGACTACTATACAGTACATGTTTTAAGTGGTAGGGAAAACCTACTAAGACACAGGAGAACATGCAAACTCCACAAAGAAAGATCTGGCCCTTAATTTAAAGTTTAATTTGATACAGTCACAGTGGTCAAAGTGCAAGAAGATCATTTTTAACAGACGTTTGACCTCAGGGTCTTTAGGTCAAACTTAGATGAATGTTCAAAGGCATCAGTAAGTTAGTGAAAATATTGTTTTACTATAAAAATTACAGGTTATTTTCACAATTTCACTTTGTAACTGAAATGTCAATAATTTATCAAACTAGCATGTCATTGACACGCTGGCAGTAGCACTCATGAACAGCAAGAAGGTTGTGGGTTCAGTCCTGTGCTGACCCGGAGATTTCTGTTTGTAGTTTATATGATTCTCCCCAAGTTCTGGAAGAACACTCTCCTGCCTGTCACGGCAGGGATGAGAAGAGATAGTCTTGTACCACAAAGCCGCGGACCTGCGGGAGTTGGCTCACAATAGTGGTGATTGCATAACCATCATGAACTACAGGTCAAACAGCTAGTGTTTATCACGTAAGTTATAGCAGAAGACAGGTGGCGTGAGCTATTCTGCTGGTTCAAAGTGAAACATACAATTATCCCACTCTCAAGGCTCAAACAAAACCAATAAAGAGCTATCTTGTGTCTTTGCCAATGTCATTAAGTGTTCTTTAACGGAATTTGAGAGATGAGCGATGATTTCACAAGCACTTTTTTCTTGTTTGTTGAGACTCCTCCTACTCCATCTCTTGAGGGGCCATCGCTCCATTTAATGTAAATACTTAAATGTTCATACTTGTAGCTTTACGATTTTCTCAAACTCTTAGTTTCTGGTGCGCTTGCAAAATGAAAGTGTACTTCTAATGGGGGAGGGGATATTAGACAATACATCTATAATAATAACTACTTGAACAATATTGCAGCCATGACATCATCATCATTAACACAATTTAAAAAGGTGGAAAAGTCACTGTGAGAATTCAAACAACAAACTCCATTTAGTTGCAAATGAACAAATCTGAGAGTGACAAGAGAATCAAAACTTTGACTATTGACAGATCCATTAGCCTCAAGCGCTTGTATTTACTTCATTTCTCACTCAGATTTTGACACTTCCTGAAAGTTCACTCCAAGTTTATCCCCTGCACATATATATTTTTCTGTTGACTTGAAACTTTAGCCTTTGGAAATTCCACCTCCACATGTGAAAAATCAAACAGCTGACACCCGGGGCGCTTTGAGACTTACGTGGTTTTTTGGTGGTGACATTGATTGCGGGGAGAAAGGGCCCGGTGCCTGCGGTGTTGAACGCGCTCACAGTCAGGAAGTACTGCGTGTGTCCTGACAGTCCGCTCACAGTGGCAGACGTCTGGTTCCACGGCACGCGCACTTTGCCCATAGTTTCTGGTTTGGTGTCGTCCTCCCAGTACACCACCTGAGACCGAAAATACAGATTATAAACGAGGGAGAAGTAGGAATACGGAGAGTCTCTGTTTGATACTTTGGGTTCATAGCTGATTGGCTGAGTGAGGGAGGTCCTCTCTTTTTCGCATTTCTGTCTGAAAAAGCTGATCTAAAAATGTGTCAGAGGCCAGAAAATACAAGGGATTAGAGTGTAGAGCGTGTGTTAGCACTAAAGTGTTGAGAGTGAGCAAATAGATAGATGGATTCCACTATAATACGTTTGTGGTATGGAAGTTAGTAGGCCCAGCTATACAGATCCAGATTCAGTTTATTTGCCATTTGCAGTAAAACCACATTGGAATTCATTTGCAAAAGTCCTCATTGTGCACAAGACAAGTACATAAACAAAACAAGAAGTACAGGAATACATATTTATTTTTTTAAGAGCAGGAAACAATTGCCACTGTGAAATCAATCAGCTTAAACAGTTTCAAGACAAAGGCAAGATTATTTAAAGTGCTCTGTTTACCACTACTCTGTTTTACTGGTTACTAAAAAGCACTTGCTGGCACATTGCTGGCATTCACAAGTAATTTTGTTTTGCATTCATTGAGTCTCTGTGGGGTAAAACACAATATTGGCAAAGATAAATTATGCCTAAAAATATATTGATACATGCAAATGAATCATATTTTAACCAAGGAACCAGAGAATGTGGATGGCATTCATAAAGAGTGCATGTCATCATAACCCTTTTAACGAAAAGGCTATGATGAAAACGATCAGTATTGAGCATTTAAAATCTCATATTTCACTCTGTATGTGCTCATTTGGCCCTCTTTAATCAAGGGGCAATGTGAATAGTTAAATGCATTAGTAGCCCATTTAGTGCATCCTAAACAGCGGGTTGTACATCTCTGAATCTAAGTGAAATCAAGGGGCCTCATTTATAAAACTTTACTTGAGGTTTACATACATATATACAAAATTAACCATATTTTTTTCTAAGCACAGTGGCTTAATTCTCAGAGATCCAACACAAAAGAAAGGAAATAAAAAAAAAAATCACTATAATTGTGAGTTTAAAAAAATTTAATATCTACATATAGAAACCAGACGTTTGAAATCAAAGCCTTTGATCTGAGAAACAACAGTCTTTTGAGCAGCAAACGTTTCTGCTCTTGTTCAAACACGATCAAATGGACATTTGAGTATGGAGGAGCGTGAGTTTGGAGCCTGGAAAAGCTGTGTAAAAGATCCCCATGTTTGCTGGAGCGAGAAAGCAGCCTCAGTAATGGTTTATGTAGTGTTCAAGTAAACACAGGTCTGGCTGCCTCTTACACAAAAGAAAGGTACAGCTCTGCAGCTGAAGGACCACAGGGAACGCTTTGGTCTAAAATACGAATAAAAAAATAAATGAAGTAGTACTTTTATTGTTTGTTTAAATAAGTGACATTTTACTGCCTCGATTCGCAGACTTTGGGGACGGAGTGTGAATAGTAATCAGCCACTTTCTAACATTTCCTGTTTTCTAAAACCGCTTTTATCCATTTTCTGTATTTAACAAAGCAGGACAAATGCCAAACGAAATTTCATTCTACCTGAATACCAAGAAGAATAATTTATTCAGTCATTTACAGATAATGTCTTGATTGATTTCCATTGTTCTGCTTGTGAGACTGGATTTTAAAACGCTGAATATTTTAAATATTCCCCACATGTTTAATGACCTGAAGCGTGTGCTGTGTTGTGTACTCTACGGCCAGAGCTCCTGGCCTCAGCGCAGCGGCCATAACTGACAGCAGCAGAAAGAGCACAGGTTGACAGCCGTCTCCTTTAGTTCAGCTCAAAACAACCTGACGTGTTTCATGTCGTGTCGCCACAAAGAACTGTATAATTTGACTGTAACTGTTTTCCAAATGAATCTCCATGGCGACCGGAGTTAGGAAGTCATGTCTGTGAGGTACAACAGGATGATGAGGCATTTGAAAGGTGTTGTGTGTAATTTCTATTTCCATTTAAAAGAGTCACATGTACCTCATAGCCCAGAACCCTTTCAGGGGTGAAGGACAGCGTCTGCCAATTCACCTCAATCTCGAAGGCCGAAACACTTCTGGCCCAAACCCCCGCTGGCATCCCACTTGGCTCTGAAAAACACAACAGGACACTGAGCTGGGCCCTGGTTCACACAGAGAACAGCGCCAGAACAAATCTCTTCATTTCTGTTACATTTGGAGCGCTGTGGCGTTAGTCCTGATCTCTGCTCCATGAATCATCACAGGTGCAGATGGGAAACAGAGTGAGCCGCTCCACGCACTGACCCTCACTTAGCATGCTGGGAAGTAGCATGGATCTAAATGCCAACGGCTACTCATTCTGGCACACTCGTTCAATGGAGTGCTGATATTTGGAGCCGTCTATTTGAATGTAAATGAGTTGCACTTTTTAATGTTTTCTTTTTGACTGGACACCAGCCTATTCCAAAATCTGAAACACATTGCTCTCCCTTGTGCCGTTTTGAATTTTTATGCTTTTTCTCTATTGTTCCGTAGAGGAAAAATTCTAACATCTAGGGTACATTGCGTTTTTGTGATTTTCCTCAGAAAAAATAAATTGTACTTTTGCAGTCAAAATCTTAGGCGTTATGTAAGGAAAACCAGCCATCATTTGTTCAAACAACATACAGTTGTGCTTAAAACTGTACCCTCAGGAAGACATATTTAGGAGATTATGAGTGATAACACTAACACCGTTCTTCACTGTTTTCTATTTTCAAATTAGATAGATAGATAGATACTTAATTGATCCCCGTTGGAGAAATTCTCGTGTCCAGCAGCATCAAAAATAAAAACACAGAAGAAGAGCTAGAGTAGCCTCTCACAATGGCAACAAAACTCTTCAAATTATAAAAGTGATAGTCTGGAATTCTAAATGAATTACACATTTTAAGAATTCTATTAAATTGACCTCCTGGCCTTAAATGTTGATAAAAAATAAGTCATTTTATGAATTCTAATATTACGGTAAGTTGCGCCTTCCCTTCTCTTAGCTATAGCTCAAAATCCACAATGCCGTCCACTTTAACCAATCCAGTGATGCCAAGGGCTGTCAATCATCGGCGCTGATGCTCGTAGCTGCGCGCATTCTCAGTTGTTTCGTTATAGGCTCTGAAACTACATGAAAACTGAACAAAGAATTCTGAACATCCGTGCTGAGTTACCCATTTATATACTGAACCTATGTCCATAATAATTTATATACTGAACCTATATCCATAATCAGATCCTCTGCATATACGTCCTAAAATGTTCAATTAATGTTAATAGCCACTTCCGGGTTTTACTGCGATTTCTTTTTTGTGCATTAAAACGTTAACAAATAATTCTGAAAACCTCTGTGCATGTGTATTAATAATGTGTATGTATAATGTGTTCTCCGATTAACATTTAAATGTGTTGATTGTTATGGAAACGTAGGCGTAGACCAATCAGAAAGGAAGAAGGAGGGAGTTTGAGTCGTTTTTTTCAAATCATGTACCTCTCTCTCTTTTTTCTGACAAACTCCAGACGATCACTTTAAAGGTTTACATCCCCACTTCTCTCTCTGATGTTAAAGCATAGACCATAAATTATAGGAGAACAAACAGTGCTGGCCAAAACCTTTTCTAAGTTCAGAAGAAGAAACAAGCCAGCGTGGTACGCACAGATGTTTGTTAGAGCTTTCCTCGCACATGAAGACATCTGATTGGTCAATCCTTATGGCTCATATCTGGAGACAATATCAAATTACAAACACCTGGATAATAGAGAGCAATAGACCACAGATTATTAAAGCCCAAAATGTTGAGTGTGACACAAACGGTTACTGCGATAGAGGGGTTTACATTTCAGTGTAAAGAGCCAGAGCACTTCCCCATAAGGATTCAATGAGCTAGCAGGTTGGCATTGTTCATGTATATAAAACAATACCTATGGTCTATGTGTTAAAGCTGCCTATTTCACATGGTAAAAAGCCTTGCATGAACTGCAAATTTGAGATAGTGGCTCAGTGTTATTATCATTTGAAGGCTACACACAAATACTAACAATGAGTGAAGATAAAGATGTTGTGTTGTCATTCAGACTCTCCAAACAATGGTCAACACTATGAAATCTCTGGCTGTATGTGTAAACTTTCAAGCACAACGTATACGCCACCTGGATGAATAAACAATTGTGCTTTCATAGTTCTAGGGTCGTGACATCTCTTTCCTTTACAGAAATCGTCTTACCAATTTCAGCCGAATAGATGGTGACCACAGGGCTGAAGGGTCCCTGTCCTTTGCTGTTGTAAGTGCCCACTTTGACATGGAAAGGCGAGAATGGCGAGATGCTGTCATTTCTATAAACATAGCGGGCGGCTCCAGGGGCAGAGGTGGCGACGTGGGTCCAGCTTGCGTCCCCAAAGGCTCGAAAGGCAATGATGTAACCAAAGCTTTCACCGTTCTGCAGTTCTTCTGACACGGGCTGGGAGGGAAACACAAAACTATAGTGATATTAAAACATATACAAACCGCTCACGTTTGTGCTCTCAGGAAGCACCGACAAGAGCGTGACCCTCAAATTGCTTTTTGTGACCCACCTGACAGAACTAAATGAGCAAAATGGGATTTTATGATAATCTGATCTCATTTTAGAATCACTTAAAAAAAAGAAAATAAACGTTATCTGAATGCTTAAAGCTGTTGTATAAAACATATATACATCTATATTTGCTGATGTACATCTCCAGTATGAATTTCATAATAATCTGCCCTGCAGTGTCAACAAAATTAGAACGAAATGAATGTCAACATTTGAAGAGGGATGGTTGAATGGGATTCTGGCAAAACCAAAGTTAAGAACATACATACCAATGAAGGACGCATTAGAAGCAGAACTCTATGTTAGAGCAAATCTGACAAGAAATCAAAGATCTCTGCTTGCTCAGTTGCGTACTGGAACCCTCCCCCTGGCCTTAGAAATGGGAAGGTTTACTCAGACTCCCGAAGAAGACAAACTTTGTGATTTAGGAGAGGTGGAAAATGAAACACATTTTGTATTGTCTTTTGTATGACAATCTTTGTAATCTTTTGTTTAGTGGTCTATTTGTTAAAAAGCCTGAATTGTTTTGGAGCAGTGATGATGATATGCTGAAATGTTTGTTTAATTCCAATGTGTTTAAATTAGCTACTTATGTTGGTAAAGCCTGGAAGTGCCGGCAATCCTGTTTATTCAAATAACTTAAATATTGGACCCTGTCAGTCATCTGATCCTGTACTTTATATTGTACAGGATTTATATCTTATTAGAAACCAATGTATCTTTTGTACACTTGTAAGAAAAACCCCTCTGATATACTATATGATGCTTTGGGCCGAGTGGGGGTGGTCCTCTCTTTTCTATCTGAAAATGCCGATCTATACATGCAACAAAGTACGAAAAAATGGTGCATGTTGAAGCTTGTGAAAGAAACATACTGTTTTGAGAGCGAGGAACTAGTTACATGCATTCTATGACATAGTTCTGTTTGAACGTTTGCGGTTTGAAAGTTACCCAAGCTTTAATGAAATGAGATTCAGAAATGAGAACTGGAATTACGCGATAACAAACTCACGACTTCTTTGATATCATAACGTTGTTTTCCAGTTGCAAACCTCTTCTGTTGTATTGTAATGATTATATACTGTATAGTGTGAAAGCAATTTGCCACAGATCTCAGCCTCATGCATGTCCATTACTGTCAAAGGATTTCTTCTCTTATCACTATAGGTTGGAAATGACCACGAACGCAATCACTTTTCAATAAGATATCAATTTAGAGAAAAAAGCAGATGGATTGTTGGTGTTGAGTGACCGGCCTTTCAAACTGATGAGTCGGAGTACAGTGAGGAAAATATCCAAGGCCCTCTGATGTTAAAACAATATATTTCTGATTACTTTATACTTTTATGAATTATGTGTGCGGCCTAATTATCATTATCATCTCTTGTTCTCAGCTGTGTCCCTCTGAGATGTACATGCATTAGATCTGTCCCATTTCATTCAATTATCCTAATTTAAAGTAAGGGCATATGAAAACATTACACAAAGAAGTGTGTATATGTATGTTTGTAATGTGTGTATCTGGTGTTCACTGGCCGTATCTCGTCTGAAGACTGACAACTTACCTCCCAAGTAATGACCAGTTCTGATCGACTCCCGCCTCCTCCGCCCACGTTGCCTGGTGCAGCATCAGGAACTACAATAATACATACAATTACGTACTAACTATAGTCTACATGTAATTTAATAGTGCAAAATTATACACTAATATCTAACAGTATTGCACGGAATATTATTTATACAGAAAAAGTAATGTTCAAGCGTTCGTACAAAAGCTGAACGTCTGTGTGAGCCTTTTCATTTACCGTCTCATATCAGATTAACTTTGTTTCTCTGCCAGTGGCTCTCAGACTTTTCAAGTACCACCTATACCACGTATGCTACTCACCTAAAATTACTGTCCAAAGCACTTATTATTGACTTGTAGCATTGATGAGAAGAGGTACCAGGGCATATTAAAGCTTATTTTCTTTTTATTTGCCTGTCAGTTTACAAGGAAAACTCATCTATTGACTCCGCCACTGTTTTGGTTCAATCGAAAAAAAAATAAAAAGTATTCCAAAATATCTAAAAAAAAATAATGCTTAATCAAAATGTTCAGAATATAAAAGTGAAAAACTATCCAAGATCCAAGAAAACTTATTACACATTCAAAAGAGTTACTTTCATCCCCATTTCATCAACTGGGATTAAAATATGGTCTTTTCAAATGAGGATTTCCATGTTTGCAAAAATGAATTACTATCAATGAGCACTATCACATTTGACATTGAAAAATGGGAATAGTAAAAGTTATACAGTATTATTAAGCAGGCATGATAAAACATAACGATCCCTTTGCAAACCTGCGTCTTCTGTCCTTGTTTTCACAGAGACTGGACTGGGCTCGCCGACGCCCACACTGTTTTTAGCCAGGACCCGAAACTCGTATTCCACCCAGGCGTTCAGATCCACCACAGTAGCCGTCAATGTGCTCCCATCTATGACTTCAGGGACTGTGGAAAAACACAATAGAAATGGTAAGGCAATAATACCATTACAGCCAAATGTGTTTAGCCTATAGGATTTGGACAGATAACTGGCTTTACCCAGCCGTGCGAGACCAGGCCAGGTTGTTATTGGTGAACTCACAGCTGGAGAGTGGACTGTAATCACATAAATGTCGTTTCTGATCAAGCTATAGTATATGCACTTGGAGGTAAATGAAAGAAACTGATTTTGATGATGGATCATTCTGGGGTAGATGACATTCTTTATTTTCTATTCTGTGTAATTTTGCTGATGTTGATTTACATGCTCGCTGGTTTATCACAAGTTGGACTAAGACAGGAAGTTAGCAGCCAACTTTTAAGGTTTGGGTTTCATAAATAATACCTGTAGTTTGTACCAACAGAAAGAGTTATGTCAAAATAAAATGGAAAATACGCAGTCTATATTTTTTTTTCATCTTTTGCATGCTTGAAACAAAGCTCTTAAAAAAATCTCCTAAAAGTATTTAGACGTCAATGATTCATAAGTCCATCAATTTCTCTATAAGTCCATTTCTGGGTCGGAGATGTGGCAATCCAAGCTGTCACCCAACCCATACGCCATATGGGTGGCATATGGCATGTACAAGTATATCATTTCATATTTTGTAGTAGTAGCAGTAGTAAGTATTGACTATTGTTATTAAATCCCATGTATAACTCTGACCAGTAGTTGTGAAAGGGGGTCTTCACAAAATACTTTAGCTTCTGTCTTCTCCTTTAGAGTGATGGCCTTGTCTTTGCTTTGTTTATACACATGCTCAAATAGATTAAAACATGGAAAAGAGAGGAGTGACTGAGAAAGTTGATCTAAAGATTTGACGGAGGAAACTAGAGATAGAACCAAATGAGAGATTTTAATATTTGTTTAATGTTTCTGGTTTGAAGGTCAAGAACCCCACCTTTAATTCCTTAATTAACAATATTCAGCTCCTCACAGGCTGTTGTACTTTAGCACTATACTAAAGAAAATTTTGCCTACATGCTTTGATGTAATGTATAATACAACCATAAATATAACTCATATAATAGTCCTCTAAATATAAATAGGTAAGTAATAACAATTTACAGAGGAAAATAATCCTTCAACACGTCGTCATTCCACCTGCAGTTGAGCTAGATTGAATCGTAATCGCTGATAATATTAGCAGACTGAGAGCAAAAGAGATGAGATTTTTAATTAACATTTTGATAAAGTGTCAAAGTTTTCTCAACAGTGAGCCCGAAGGTCACATAGTTCCTACCTACGTAAAACAGAACATATTTCCATAAATACTGTTCTACATTTTCTCTTACATATATACAGTATATTGTATTACTTATTTCAAAAACGTTTTCTTTATGCTAGAATAAGTCTGACAGTTCAACATACAAACATGTAACAACAGCCAGCAACAAACTGTACATACACACAAATACAAAGTATATATTCTCCCAATATGTTGATCTTAGTATTTTTCCTCAAAGAAAAAATATCCAATAGACTCTTCTTCATTCAACCATGTCTACTGCATATTAATAATAATCACCATAATAAAATATATGCCTATTTATTTACAGTATCTAAATGAGCTCTAATTTGTGGGTACACGCACAGACAGATATTTTTTGTCCATTCTTGATAGAAAAAAATAAGTAGTAGATTCATAAGTGATCCCCCATAGGAGAAACTCAGGTGCCTACATTGATCCAGACAAATCAATAAACACAAAAAGTCACCAACAATAGCAATAGTAGATGACCTTTTAAAACAAACTCACCGCAAACAGGAACACACCAATCCTTATTACATTGGCTCATGCTGTCGCTCACGGTAACTAGATGCAAAATCCAGACACTTTTATTAATAGTGTGTTTTTCTTCGGTACAGGAGGAACCAAAGACCTTTGTGTCATTTCAGAAGCTTTCACTTAGGGGTTCAGCTGTGGATTTGAGCAGGAGTCAGTGTGAGGTGTGCGGGTCAGTACAGTGGTGTAAATGAGATCATGTATCGGCCTGGTGCTGTCTGACCCGCCGTCTCTGGGGTAAAAACCTGATTTTGACCCTTTCGAAACGCTCCGCTCCTCAGCTGACCCCGCACCCTGACCTGCCCACTCCAGCAAGGGGGAGAGGAGAAAGTGAAGAAATTTCCCCAAGGGCCTCTCAGGATTATATGAATAAAATTACATGAGTATGACACAGCCTTACACCTTTGTTCGCTTGGACATAGATACTTTGCTACTACGGGCTGTTGTCTCCAAGATTCTAAACATGCAGATAATATTAAGAAGAAGAAAAAAACATGCTTTCCTTTTTTCTTTCTCTAACTAACTATTCTGAATTTGTTTTGTCTATTTTCAAATTTAGAAAATCACTGGCTGCAAACATTTCACTTTACAAATGTCTTATTTATGGATAATATATTTATCTTTTTTATTAGGTGTGGTCAGAGGTGTGAATGTGGACGTGTCCAGGGAGGAAATGGTTTACGGCTAGAGATAGATTGATAGTTTGGTTGGAAAAGGCAGGAAACGTCTTTGAGCATGATGTCATCACAATACAATGACATCACGTAAGAGTCCATTTAGCATAATATTTCTCCTTAAGTAGTAAGTAGTAAGTAAGTAATCTTTATTTATATACCGCCTTTTCACTGCACATCGGAGTCTCAAAGCGGTTTACAATTGTGATTGTGATCCTTAAACTCATTTGAAAGCTTTAGATCCACACACATACTCACTACCAGACAGTGCTATTGAGTATTTCTCTAAAGAATTATCACTATGCAATTGCACTTTTGAAACTTCTGAGTTCAATCTAGGGTTCAATTCTCCCACGAATGCACAGGGTGATCTGCCAAATAAAATGCTGAGCCAAAGCAAAGGTGATGAGAGTGAAGGCATCCAGCATAGAAACCTGCCAAAAAAAACTTGTCCAATTTGCCACGTGAAACCCGTACATGAATCTTTTCTTAATCTAAGAATAATGATACAACAAAATCAGATAATTAAACTAAATCAGACAATAGAACCATATTTAGATAAAAAATTCAGTATATGAACTAACTTACAGTAACGTCAACAACTGCTCTTAGAAAATATGGGCATTGGAACAAAGCTGCTTGAATATGGAGCATTTAAGATACATCAAGATTCCATTAAAGCTGGGGTACCTAACTTTCAAACCACAAAAAACCAGCAATCCATATATTTGGATCAGCTTTTAGGTGAAACCGAGAGCACCATCCTCACTCAGGTAATCAACGCTCAGCCTAAAGCGTCCAATAGTCCCTCACAAAGCGTTTTTCTTTCAACTGTGCGAAATATACGTTTATGAAGACAGCATGTTTGGGTCTTATTTGCTCACACCATTTTACTTTTACATAAACTCTTTCTGTTGGGAGAAACAACATGTGTTATTATTATAATTGTTGTATATATATTTTTTAACAGTTTAACCCTTTAATGGCTTCCTCAACCATTTGGTGGATCACATTTCACGCACCTGTGCTATAACACTTACAGCAATGCATCTGGTTCGTCCAATGTTATTGTTATGTCCATATTAAATAAATAAATACATTTTGAGTCACTATACAGTATTTACTTGAAGCTTGGAACTGAAATCTACCTCACTGTTGCGTCATTTGGTTATAGGCAAATCTTCCAACAAACTACATCTCATTTGGTAAAGGCCTAAAATTTAAAAAATAGGGGTTAGGAAAAAAACATATTAAGATATTTGTGTTATTAGTGCTTCAACATCTTAGAAAATGAAAAAAAAAAAATTCCATTCTTCAAGGAGTGTACATTAAAGGGTTAAAAAGTGAGGTAGCCCAGCTTTAAGGTTACATGAAGGCGCTCATACCTGTGTTGACCCTCTGCCAGCCCACGGTGAAGGGGGTCCTGGTCTGGATGAAGTAGTGGCTGATGGGGCTGCCGTTGTCTCTGCCGGGGCTCCAGGCCAGCTGGGCCGTGCTGTCTGTCACCTCCTCCACAGTGACCAGGGCTGGGGGGCTGGGGGGGCCTGCCACATGTCCCACACAGGCACAGAGGGACGAAGGAGGACGTGAGGAAACAGTTCAGTCAGTTCACTCAAACATGAATGCATCCAAACAACAGCATAAAAATCCTTTGTTTACGCTATGAGGGTGTTAGCGCTGTTCTTTTATAAATGTGTTTAACTTTCTCAGTAACTTTATTGTTTGTGAGATGTCCTAAATAATAAACACAACATGATTATACATATATTTATTTTTAAAGAAGTTTGTTGTAGGCAACACACACAGCAGTTATTTCAATCTGGACTGTAATTTTTTGCACTACCTTCAAAGAGAAAAAGTACCCCTTGTTATGAATACTTAGGGCGCGTTCACACTTTGTATAGTTCACTTTTACAGGACCAAGTCTTGTTCATTTGGGAAAAGACACTTCACAGATCTCTTTCAAAAGATGTACACTGACTAGTGGAAACAAATTCAGTTGTTTTGTGGATTTACTTGGATATACTTGAACAATGAAATAAATTGTTTATTCTTAAAAGAAAAAAATCTTACAATACAATCATGTATCAAGTATAAACTTATACACTCGTCCTCAAGTTAATAGACATCGCTCTCCTTGAAAAAATATCATTTTAGTGTTTTTCTTAGTAAATGTTAAGAGCAGGACGCAATGTTTAGAGCTGATTCTAATTAACCAGTTTAATTCACGTTTTATCAATAATATACAGCTTTCCACATAATACTAAGCAATATCTATCAAACCGTGCAGGACCTATCACCATGGGAACGTCATTAAAATGGCTCCAACTTATTTCACTCGCCAAAATATTGCTCATTATCCAACTATATTAAAAGTTTGTTTGGTTTTGAAGTAATAAAGTCTTAAAATAGAAAAATAGAACAGTTAATATAAAGGTAAGAAAAAGAGTTTGTTTTTCTTAAAAGACTACTTTTAATTGAATGTGGTCAATGAAGTGTGTTACACAGACCCGGCATAAGCATATTTTTAGCACAACTGCATATTAGTTTGAAAAGCCTCAGTGCCTCTGGAGATATCGTTGTGTGGAACCTTAGGTGAAAAACTGTTAAAAGATTTCATTACAGGAGGCTGGTCGTCATTAAGACTTAACAAGGATTTCAAAGATTTATTTGTGCAAAATGCAGCAGAAACGCTCTCCCCCATCTGGTGCTTTCTGATCAATGCAACGCGCCGGTGCCTGCAGAGTCAAATTAAAAGTTAAAAGATAAAAAACCTTTTGAACCCTGAATACTGTAAGTTATTATTCCTCAGAATTGACATTAATTTTCCGTCCAATTAAGCTTTGTGATGTTTCACTTTGGTCTTATTGACACGTTCCTTTTTAATGAAAATGTCAGAAATTACAGGAAAAAAATATCTACACAGCATAAAAACTATTGAAAGCATTTAATTGAATTATCCACGTTTGAAAAATATGTTTTACTATATCCACATACGACTTTGCGTGTAGTGAAGATCCACCTCTTGAACATGGCGTTTTGTTTACCCTGCTGTTCCACACACATGACCTCAGTGCCCTGGCTTTAGATATATTGATTTATGTAAAACTCATTACCAGCTCTTGATACATAAACCCCGTTAATACACTGGCCTCATTAATACGTATGAATGCAGCATATAACTAAGAATCAATTCCTTATCCTCTTAATTATATTTCATTGGTGGAGGTCTCAAGGTGCCGTCCGTGTCTACAGGGGTCAGATAAGGCAAAATGAATATAGACAGACTGTCTGGCCGTAGCACACAGGCCCACAAGAGCATTGGGGGGGTGCAATACAAAACCATTACACTAGGCCTGTGCCAAAAATCTAGTTATCCAAAAATGACCTTTTCTCAGTATCAATTATCAATGTGAATTAAAAACAAGAGTATTTATTATCCTAAAATCACCTATTTTGGGGAAAAAAATGTATCCAGGAAAAAGCAGAATATATCTTAATTCCCCCGTTACCAATGCACATTACATATAGAGGTTTAGCATAAATATACAGAACATTTAAGTAAGAAAAAAATGATCCAATAAAAAATTGAGACTGATCAATGTGAATAAAATGAATGGGGCAGTCAGGCTAGTTTTACCTCCTGATAATGTATTGTTGCAATAGTAATACCAGATGGCACAGGTTGCCCAGCTCTAATTAAAACTTCCCATTCCATTTGCTTTCTTCTGCGTTGTTTAAAACTAATATTACAGTATTTTCAAATTAGTATTAAATACATATTTTTTTATTCCACGACTGTAGTTTTACCCAAATCATGATTAAAAAATAATAATAATTTCTTGTTAACATTACTGTATTTGCATATTGTATAAAAGATGCATGATACTACAACAGAGAAAGGTTGCATTATTAATATGAAACATGAAAAATGTACTTTAATCATTACATAGTCTGTAAACAGCATATTCTGATTTAAACATATACTTGAGATAAAAGGAGGCCGGAGTGTATTTTAGGTGTTTCCCTTTAGGCCCATGATGCAATGGAAGAGTTAGCGCAGTGAATGCTAATAGAGCAGCGATAGCAGTGACCTTCTCATATCCAGCACCACCCAGTGGAGTGTTTGAGACAAGTGGCTTCAAAAACATTTGTGTCGGCTGATGTTGTAAACAGAAGAAAGCCCACACAATCACTCAATAGCCTTTGTCTCACAAACAATTACCACTGACCTTCAGAGCTGTGAGACAAGTGGATAAACAACTGGGACAGAGGCGGGCCATATTAGACAGCAGCGGCTGAATTAACTATTGCTATAATTGAGCCATTGACAGTTCATTTTGCTCAAATCAAGGACAAAAATAATTTATAGAGATAAAAGTAGAGCACATCATCTTTTATAAATGACTTTGTAAATATAACATCTATGAAAAAGTCACTGTAGATGTTATGTGTGTAAGATCCTCGTGCAGAGCTTACGTAGAGAGGGATTATGTGTAAAAAAAAAAATTCAATAACAGCAACGGCCACAACTGCAAAAGACAAATATTAAATTCAGGAGCAGCGCTTGAGGAAAGCCATTTGTGGATGCAACATTCATTCTGAGCAGTGGATCCTTCGAGGGTACGTGGCACTAAAGACAGTAAGTACCAACCATTAATAATGTGGACCAATACGTTCTATCTAAAGTCACAATTTATTTTTCTTGTACAGATTTTGATATCTGTCTTATGTGTGTAGTGCTTGTTCAAGGACAGGTAAATAAATTCATCCAAACTAATTGGTTATCGGAATGCTTTTAAACTGATTTTGTAATTTGTTTTCTGAACCTTACAAAGACTCAAACATGCTAAGAAGAAGTTTTATGACTCAGATAATTATATAATGACGGCAAAATTAAATGTGTTTGCAAAGTATTTCTAATCAAACAACCCAATGTGTTACAGGTCATCTCTAAGAAAGCTGTTCTCCAGGGGCATCACTGGGGCATCAATCTCTAAACAATCCCATATTCACTGAGCTTTAGAGAACCAAACGACCAACCAATTATTTAAAAGAATAATTCAGCCACAAAAATAACCTAAATAAATTCTGAATTGTCATATAGTCAATGCATGCTCATTCATTGTTAAGGCTTTAGGGCTGAATCAAATCAAATATTGTGATTTAGCATTTTTCTGAATTGTGTTTAGAAAAAATTGCTTTCAAGTATCTCCCCCTCTAGCCATATGTCTAACGCTGAATACAACACAAGCATCCTCCTAAAAGTCAAATGAGGCGTCCATTATTCATGTTGTCTTTACATTAACATTTCATTGTTGTGCACGTGTGCAGGGGCAACCGACTCTCGCTGCCAAAGAGAAAAAATGCCTCATCGACGAAGCTGCAATAAACAAAACAGAACCTCATTTAATCTGGAAACTAATTCAGCCGCTGGTCATTTGATTTCCACTTAATCTTCAATTTCAGACTTTTTAATGGCCGCAGTGGTGTGAGCCTGTTAAATATGGACCTATAGAAAAGTCAGAGCATAAATACTATTTGTATACTGTAATAAAAACCAATGTTATGGAGCTCTTCGCGAAAGTTCACTGTGGTAGACCCGGCCACTGCTGCCAGATCTACAAGCCTGCTCATCCTCTACTCATTACACCAGCAAAACGCCCACATCTAATCCACCAATAACCACCAGGACAGCAAGTTAAAAGCCGGAGACGCCCACTTTCCCGGCCTTCTGAAGTTTGCAAACTTCTGAAGCCTGCAAGGTGCATGTCGCTAACGCACCTGTTCGCAAATGCTGCGTTGTTCTGGAGGGGTCGCTTCTGCTCACGTGTTGCTCGTGCGCGTGGCCCGGCTGTCCTCAGTCTGGCTGCTCGTGGTCTGCTCCCCCTTCGCGTCCCTGCACCTGCAATGGTTCGCGTGTCTCCACTGCTTTCCTCCTCTGTGGGCTGATCCGCGGGGCCCCTCCGCGGGGCCCCTCTGCAGGTTCTGTGCTGCTCGTTCCTCGTGGTCTGCTGCCGCGCGCAGACGGTCTGGCGGTGCCGTGCATGTCCCTGCCTCCGATTGGCGGTGCCGCGTTGTCCCGTTGCTTTTCCCAAGTCTCCTGGCATGTGAGTACAGTGAGTGCGCCGACCGCGGACAGATTAATCCCGGAGTCTAGGCTGCAGGCGGCTGGTTTTTGCCCTACGCACTTGACTGCAGGCGTCAGTTTTCGCCCCGTGCTTGGTCTGCAGGCTCCATTTTCACACGTGTTTGAGCTAACTGAGGGGCAATGCATATTAAATGGCATCAATCTCTATTGTCTGAGGGATATAAGAGGAGCAATGTGCATAATTCAGATTCATGTTCTGCCACTTGCAGTAAAACCACGTTGGAAATATGTGCAAAGACTACCCATCGTGTTCCAGACGGCACACACCAGAACTCTTGCCACGGCGCCATCTTTACAGCATTAATCTCATTACTCGCAGGTCACTATTGTTAAATGGATGTATTTAAAATCGTCTATCTGCAGGAGGAAGGAGGGGCCATGCATTTAAATAGCTAGGTCACTAGTATTAAATTGGGTAACTAAACTGCAGTTGTTGCATTTTGAAAGTGCAGCAGAAAGAAAAAGGGCCCAATGTGAATCTGCAATGGGTTTGAAGTGGAGTTGGAGCTAATGAACGCATGGAAAAGTGATCGTTCATGCGTATCTACCATAACCAAAGCAGCAAGATGGCTCCAGGGGACATCTGTTATTCGCATGGGAATGTTTCGGATTCGGGTTGATTTATTTCCTCAGGCTCTTAAACAACCATGGGCATGGTTCTCTGACCGCCGCTGCTGCGGTCCCTGCTGCCGTTCCTACTGATGCCTGATCCCGCTGCTGCCTGTTCCCGCTGCTGCCTGTTCCTGCTGCCGCTCCTGCTGCTGCCTGTTCCTGCTGCCTGCTCCCTGCTGCTGCTCCTACTACTACATATGCCGCTGCTGCTGTTCCTGCCGCTGCCGCTCCTGCTTCAGGCTCTGAAACACTAAACAGCTACAACAATATTCTACTGCTCTGGCTTTGATACAGGTTTATTGCTGTTATTATCTACGGATGCTGCATCAGCTGCTACTGCTGCTGCTGCTTCATACTGCTACTGCTGCTGCTTCATACTGCTACTGCTACTGCTGCTGCTTCATACGGCTACTGCTGCTACTACTGCTGCTGCTGCTTCATTTACTTTGCCATCTCTCTTCACTTGCATCTCTTTTACTGAAACACTGAACAGCTACAACAACATTTTACTGCGGTGGCTTAGATACAGAATTATTACTGTTATTTCTAAGGACGCTGCTGCCGCTGCTACTGCGGCTGCCGCGGCTTGATACAGGACTATTGCTGTTATTATCTGAGGTTACTGCTGCTGCCGCTGCTGCTACTGCTGCTGCCGCAACCCACTCTCTCAGAAGCTTATCCTGCTTCTAATGGATGCAGCCCGGCTGAGTATGCCGCGCTGCGCTGGACTCGCACCATGCTCCCAGGGTCGCTTCGGCGGTCGTGCTTCATCTCTCTACTTAATCTTCTGATCCATCAGATGCAGCCGGCCAAGTAGCTGCGCTGAGCCGTCAATCGGACTCCTAATCAAAGGCATCCATACCTGTGTTCTTCACTCTTCTGATCGCAGGCGCCCCATCATGCTGCCCATCCTAAGCGTCTCACCATTGCTCACTCAACCTTCATGCGGTCCGAGACACGGCTTTCCCGACCATCCTACTATCCTGATTATCTACTCTCCAACCCAAGATTCTAAGCGTAAGGGCGCCTGCAACATCAATGGCCTTCTCCGATATGTCTCTGCCCCTACAGGTCTCCGCTTCTACACGGACGCTGCCCCTTCCGTGGGTTTTGGGGGATTCTTCCAGGACCATCGGGTTGCCGGGCCGTGGCCGCTACTTTCCACCGGAGCATCTCCTCTGCCCTACACGAGATATTCCCAGTGGTCGTGGCCTGCGCGCTGTGGAATCACACGTGGCAGAGAAAGAGGATCTCTGTCATGTGTGATAATCTCGACGTAGTGGAAGCATTAAACAAAGGTCGCTCTTTTTCACCCAACATAATGTCCCCTGACCATTTCAACCTCCGTCTCAAACATTCAAAGATCAAAGGAGCCTGCAATATAGTAATAGCTCGCTCGGACACATCTCTCTGCCCCTACAAATCCTTTATGCGTTACACTCGCCTCCACTGCAAAAAGGAGATCTTAACGGACCTCTATTTCTCACTCCAGACATTCTTCCCATGACAGCAACCTGGTTCAGAGCTCGACTAAGATCCCTACTGCTCCTCTGTAAATTGTCTCCCCAGCTCTACACAGCTCACTCATTCAGGATAGGCGCCGCCACGCGCGCGGCCTCGCTGGGGCTCCCCCACACCTCTCTGCAACAGCTGGGGCGCTGGTCCTCTTCGGCTTTCTCCACCTACATCAGGCCAGACGCGTCCGCCATCCTGGCTGCACAACGGCTACTGGCTTCCTCGTAAGCTCCCAGCAAAGCAATACAAAGCAAAGTAAGTGAACCAATAAGATTCTGGTGGCGGCACGCACTTCTTCAAAGATAACCCTGTTGCAGGGTCCGGTTGATCGTGATGCGAGCGCTCACGTCCCGGCGCTTAAAGATAACTCCACTGCAGCGTCTGGTACCGATCGTGATGCGAGCGCTCACGTCCCAGACAGCGTCCGGTTGATCGTGATGCGAGCGCTCACGTCCCGGCGCTCAAAGATAACTCTGCTACAGCGTCTGGTATCGATCGTGATGCGAGCGCTCACGTCCCAGGCAGCGTCCGGTTGATCGTGATGCGAGCGCTCACGTCCCGGCGCTTAAAGATACTCCACCGCAGCGTCTGGTACCGATTGTGATGCGAGCGCTCACGTCCCAGACAGCGTCCGGTTGATCGTGAAGCGAGCGCTCACGTCCCGGCGCTTAAAGATAACTCCACTGCAGCGTCTGGTATCGATCGTGATGCGAGCGCTCACGTCCCAGACAGCGTCCGGTTGATCGTGATGCGAGCGCTCACGTCCCGGCGCTCAAAGACAACTCTGCTACAGCGTCTGGTATCGATCGTGATGCGAGCGCTCACGTCCCAGGCAGCGTCCGGTTGATCGTGAAGCGAGCGCTCACGTCCCGGCGCTCAAAGATAACTCTGCTACAGCGTCTGGTATCGATCGTGAAGCGAGCGCTCACGTCCCAGGCAGCGTCCGGTTGATCGTGAAGCGAGCGCTCACGTCCCAGGCAGCGTCCGGTTGATCGTGAAGCGAGCGCTCACGTCCCGGCGCGCAAAGATAACTCTGCTACAGCGTCTGGTATCGATCGTGATGCAAGCGCTCACGTCCCAGGCAGCGTCCGGTTAAATCGTGATGCGAGCGCTCACGTCCCGGCGCGCAAAGATAACTCTGCCCGTTTTTGGGGATTATGCGCGCGAGCAAGCGCCGCACTCATCATTATCTCTCCCGGGCCTAGGGCGCCAAACATACTCAATCAACAAACTTCTAACTGCATTTTCCCTCTTGGGTCTCTCCAAAGTGAAATGGAGCTCTTCGCGAAAGTTCACTGTGGTAGACCCGGCCACTGCTGCCAGATCTACAAGCCTGCTCATCCTCTACTCATTACACCAGCAAAACGCCCACATCTAATCCACCAATAACCACCAGGACAGCAAGTTAAAAGCCGGAGACGCCCACTTTCCCGGCCTTCTGAAGTTTGCAAAGCCTCCGCCGCCCCACCTCCTCCTTCTCTCATCGAAGCGTGCTTGCCTACTGCCTCTGCCGTCACCAGTGCCTAGGCCCCGGGGGGGGATTATGCGCGCGAGCAAGCGCCGCACTCATCATTATCTCTCCCGGGCCTAGGGCGCCAAACATACTCAATCAACAAACTTCTAACTGCATTTTCCCTCTTGGGTCTCTCCAAAGTGAACTGCCGCTATATTTGGTGCAGAAAAAAATCAATATAAATTCCAATTAAATTAAAGTCTCAAAAATTGAAACTTGGCTATAATTATTTAAAGATGTATTAGATTTAAAGCCAGTTCAACTAGATGCATGTAGCTGAAGTGGTGAATAAAGAAAATATCCCGAGTGTAGATTACAGCATTGGTTTTTGAGCTTGTCTCTGGTTTAACTGGCAGCAGTCCAGGGGCGCACATTTAGGATGAATTCAGAGCTGATTCTAGAGATGGAAGCTCTACATGTCTTGGTAACGTAAAACAAATAGTGTGAATAAAATGAAACGTTAATTTTCAAAAACCCGTAAGTGCCATTGGAGTAATATGTGAAACGCTGACACTTCTTTGCACCGAGATGCTTTTTCAAAATCCAGGTTACTTTTACTGCGATTAAAATAAAGTTTCACTCCATTTTGAGCAAAAAATTTCAAATGTCAGTGTTAAATAATGTAACTAGAGGAATATCTGTCTTTCCAAAGAAATCTGTCTCCTCACTAACGTACTCAAATGTACTCAAACAACTAATAATGGACATACAATGAAACATTAATCAGTGTTATTGTTACCTTTTTATGGTTGATACAAGCTTGTATAGTTAATATTTACAGAAATGAATCTCATACATAAATAATTGCTAAACCAGTAACAAAACATTGTACTTTCTCCTCCCCTCATGCTCATGTATAACGCTCATAATTGTGAGTTCTAATGGAAGAGCTGGTGTCACAGATATTCACAGCGTCATCAGTGATACGCGCCCTACTGTCCTGTCACAGGCATAAGGTTAATGGGACTTTCCACAATGTATAACTGGTTGCCCGCGGTGACAAAACCCCTTTGATCTAAATGTGGCTCTGCTGTCATCTTGTCAGACCTCTTGAGCTTGTGATCAAACCCACAGAGTCGGCCACAGTGGCTGGTTTTCCTATCGAGCGTCCCGTCTCCACATTGGACACACTTCGATCCCGGGAACGAGACATTGTGACAGCTGTCGTGATCGGGAAGTGTAAATAATGCACAGCCGGAGAGTCTTTGCTGTTGATAGAAATTTATTCCACTGACCTTCATGTATGGTTCACTACTTGCACCATATATTAATGACAGAATGAAGAATTAATTTACGTGCACTTAGTAGGGGCATGCAATCCTGATACTTAAAACAGTATTGATACAAATAATGTGTTAGATTATTGACAACCTGGAGCTCTGGAGCCACGGGAGGCTAGTTCTTTGTAATGGTTCCATTGAGTAGCCAATAAAAAGCGCTTCAAAAGTATATGTGTTATTTCTACGTATGATTATTATTATGATTATTGTTTTATTAATTATGATTATTATCATTGTTATTCTTTTTATTATTATCATTATTATTATTATTTATTTGTTGTGGCTTTTCACCATTTGTCTATGTTGCAGAAGAGAGGGAAACAGGGTTCTTTTGATGATAAAGGTTTCTGACACCTTGGTGAGATCATGAGTAAAATCAGATTTATATCAAACTATATTCATTTAGCAACCGTTATGAAGAGATAGGATCTAGTTTAGTTTTTGCCTCCTTCCCTTTTGAAGCCTCATACCCGTCTTATTTTAGTGGGAGAGTCAGCTTATTTGTGTGGTCTTTTTTCTCCAATTGATTAAATACTAAATAATGTAATGCAATTGACAGTAATCAAATCACTTCATGTTGTATTGCCTTAAATCACAACAACGGTCGTCTTGTGGGGAATCACAGAACCAGCAATAATTGTTCATTCATGATTTTTCTTTTCTTTTTCATGTTAAATATGCCGGATTTCCATGGTAACGATCAAATTGTGACTTTTTAAAACTCTAAAACTGCAGAATTGAAAGGCCCTTCAAAATGGAATTTCACAGCAGGAAGCACTAGTCATTTATGTGTTTTATCTTTGAAAAGTGCTGCTGTGACCTTTTTGGGGAATTTTTTTAATCAATTTCAAAACACGGAAACATCCAGGAATCAAAATACAACTTTGAATTGAAATCACCAGTCATTTTGAAAAATCTAAGGTTTTTCCTCATATTTCACATATTGGAGACACAAGAAAGTTCGTCACCTACTTTCAAGTGGTGTTTATCGTTTCCATTTGCCAACAATACCCTCAACGCGCCAAGCAATACAGTGCTTCTCAGCCTCAGCAGATAGAGATATGGATCCAACCTTTTCAAATCCTGACAACCAAATCATCCCTCACCCCGCGTGGCATTTAATGCATTTGCACAGTGTCAGTTTGAGGAGCATTGATCAAAACTCTCTTCACCCACGCAGCTGCAACACAATGGGAAAGTTGTAGTATTTTGTTCAGCTTGGTGTAATGTGGCTCTCGACAATTGTGCGAGTCTCTGGGGCTTTGCATACTGCATGAGTGAACCCAGACAGGTAACTAAACAGTCCACTCCGAGCGGCATAGCACTTCACTGAGCATTAAACATTAAAAAGAGGCCGGGATCCAACAATAAGCAGGGATCTAGTCAGCCGTGTGACAAGTGTTCAGCGAGTGTGCTGCCAAAAAAGATGGGACTAAATATTGTTAATACAGAAGCTTAGATTGAGACAGAAACGATCGTGTCACAAATATAAATAATTCACAATTTCATAGATTTCATGGCAGGAGATGCACGTTCTTATCAGATATGAAAGATGGGCTTTTGTCTTATTAGAGCCATGACCAGAGGTGAGGGTGGGAACGTAGATTAATCAGTAAATCGAGAATTTCTCCCTCTTCATCCCAACAGTCTGTTACAGGGGCCGTATCACTGCACACGCTGCACTGATCCGCCTGTCAATCTCACGCTCCATCTTTCCCTCACTCATTAAAGGAATAGTTCACCGTTTTTACATACTGACATATGTTCTTACCTTACCTTAGACTAGTTAATACGTACCTGTCTGGTCTTAGTCCGTGCGCTCTGTCATGCAAACGGAGCAAAAACGGGAGCACAAACGCAGCCTCCTCTGTATACTGTGTAGGACCAAAAGGTAGCTCCCGCTAGAAGCTACCAAACTCTTCCAAGTGTTCCCTATTAAATGTATATAGTTACGTGACGTGTTACACTGCAAAGTATAGTAACACAGAAATGTAACAGTCGATTTTCTCAGCGGATAAAACGGGTTCTATATTGTGAGGCGTAGTAATCTGAGGAGCGCTACGTCCGCGCACTAACTTCTCTCCGGAGACTTCTCTCTCGCTCACTTCCGTCAATAGAAGCAGCGTGACTTGTAGTACGGAGAGAAGTTTGCAGTGTAACACGTCACGTAACTATATACATTTAATAGGGAACACTTGGAAGAGTTTGGTAGCTTCTAGCGGGAGCTACCTTTTGGTCCTACACAATATACAGAGGAGGCTGCGTTTGTGCTCCCGTTTTTGCTCCGTTTGCATGACAGAGCGCACGGACTAAGACCAGACAGGTACGTATTAACTAGTCTAAGGTAAGGTAAGAACATATGTCAGTATGTAAAAACTGTGAACTATTCCTTTAACAAGGCCCCGAAATACTAAATCTCCTCCACTTGAGGAAGGAACTCTGCATCCACATTTTTCCAGCTGAGAGGAACACCTGTGGTCCCCAATATACACTCTCTCCAGCCCCTGACTGCAAGTCATTTCGTTTCAAATTGCAGTTTTGTGGAAACTATAAAATACAACATAATAAAGCATTTGATTTGAATAGTACCATTGTGTTTTGTTGGACTGTACTGTAGCTGCTGACCGGAAAATGCCAAACGACGCCAAAGGGTTCTCCAGCCAACTAACTTATTCACACACTATATTCAAACATGGTCAAGGTTAGGGAAAATCAACAAACCAACAATACACACAAGAGCAGTACAATTTATTCCACTTGGATCAACATTACAATTTCATGTGGTGTTATTGTGACATGCAACAATTGTATGGATTGTAACGCTTTGGATTGTGGTGGGTTTAGCACTCTGCTCATGAACATGTTTGAATATCAAAACACCAATATAATCACAACTATGAGAAGAAAATGTGTTTATTTCAGCTAAAACCATTAACAACATACTGTAGTGTCTGCTATTATATATTAGATATATTTCTGTAATATTACATGCAATTGAATGGATATGATCCGAATGTTTAGATAACACTTATCTAACTCTTATTAGAAAGCTTGTTAATTAAATTGTCTGTTAGAGGCCTCGTGGTGGGACTGCATGGGATCATGAGGCTGCCTCTTTTATAAGACGTTGTGTCTTTTTGTGGTCTTTGTCTTTCTGCTGCAATCGCCATCTCGCAGAAGACCCAGGCTTATGAAGCTTTGCCTGATTATGTCTTAAATGTAATTCTGCCTTATATATATTTATCCAAACTTTCTTTATTATAGCATGAGTCTGATCATTTACCATTCATTATCACTGGTTGTGCAGGGAACTAATCAATCAATCAATCAATCTTTATTTATAGGGCGCTTTTCCTGCACAGGGCAACACAAAGCGCCTCACAGTCCACACCACACAATGCACAAATCATCACCATTAAAATACAATTAAAAAGCATTAAAATCACATAAGTAATTTAAAAACATAAAAATCACACAAGTAATTAAAAACAATAAAATAGTTAAAAACACAAAAAGTTACAACAATAAATAACAAGGTGTGTTAAAAAGATAAAATTCTCTAGTTGTATGCACGGGAAAAAAGAAAAGTCTTTAACATGGATTTGAACATTGACAGAGAGGCAGCCAGTCTCACATCCTCAGGAAGACCGTTCCAGACTCCAGCTGCATAAATCTGAAAAGCAGCCTCCCCCTGTCTAGTCCTGACTCTGGGCACTAACAGGAGTCCCGTCCCTGCGCTCCTCAGAGTCCGGGCTGGTTCATATGAGACTAGCATATCATGGATGTACTTTGGTGCAAGGCCATGGAGAGACTTGTACACCAGGAGAGCTGCTTTAAAGTCTATCCTCTGGGCCACGGGAAGCCAGTGCAGAGACCTGAGGACCGGACTAATGTGGTCGTACTTCCTGGTTCTAGTCAGGACTCGGGCTGCAGCATTTTGAATATACTGCAACTGTCTTACTGCATGTTTGGAGATACCTGTGAGCAGGCCATTGCAGTAATCCAGCCTACTGGAAACAAAAGAATGGATAAGAATCTCCAAGTCTGCCCTGGACACAATATTTTTAATTTTGGCAATATTTTTCAGATGATAAAAAGCTGCTGATGTTACCGATCCAATGTGGCTATTGAAGTTTAAGTCAGAGTCCATTATTACTCCCAGATTTCTGACCTTATTTAAGGGCCTTAGGGAGAGAGACTGAAGGTGACAAATGACGGTCTCTCTTTGTTTCTCGGGACCAAAGACAATCATTTCGGTTTTGTCCGCATTTAGCTGGAGAAAATTGCATTGCATCCACTCACTGATCCGCTGGATACAGCGAAGGAGTGAGTCCACCGGCCCATGCTCTCCTGCAGTCAGTGAGACATAGATCTGAGTGTCATCAGCGTAATTGTGGTAGGACACTTTCATACTTTGAATTAACTGACCTAATGGCAGCATGTAAATATTGAACAGGAGAGGTCCCAGAATCGACCCCTGTGGCACTCCGCAGGTCAGGGCCATATTATCTGAGACATAGTTTCCAATCTCCACACAGTACTTCCTTTCTTCTAGATAGGACCTAAACCAGCTTAGGGCGGTACCAGCAACACCAACCCAGTCCTCCAGTCTCTGCATGAGAATCTCATGGTCAACGGTGTCGAAAGCGGCACTCAGATCTAACATGACTAAAACAGAGACTTTTCCTGCATCAGTGTTAAGCCGAATATCATTTGTTACCTTGACTAGAGCGGTCTCAGTACTGTGGTGTGGTCTAAAGCCAGACTGAAACATGTCAAATGAGTCATTAGATATTAAAAATTCAGTAAGTTGTTGGTAGGCAACTTTTTCAAGAATTTTTCCATGAAAGGCAGATTTGAGATGGGACGGTAA